AGCTAATCATCAGCACACAGTTCTAGGACAGGCTGGAACAACTGCTCTTTCGACACTTGAAGAATTGACCTAAGACCCTGCAGAAAGTGGCTATATGTTTTTCCAACTAGAAGCTGCCCATCTTCCTGCCTGGCTCCATCCTGGGGCTGGAGCAAGGAGCAATGAAGGAGTTCCTATGGAGATGCTTTTCTCTCTGGGCTTGGGCCCCAGTGCAGCTTAAATTCCCAGCTCTGTCCTGACTCACTGCCCTCAAGTACCTAGGGAAATGGAGAAAGGAGACAAGCCATGAGCAACTGCTAGATGTTAGGGTCCACTTGGGTGTTTTCTCTGTTGCCCATCAATTTACTACTCTAACCCCAGAAGGGAGACACAAGCCCATGCTACAGATGCAGAAGCAGGCTGGGGAGTGAAAGTTACTTATCCAAGGACACATGGCTTGGACGGAAAGTCATCCCTCTCTGTCTCCAGAACCCCTGCCTTTTGTACTCCACCTGGTAGGAAGGGGAGGCCAAAGCTTCCCAGCTGCTAAAGGATGCTTCCATGGATGCAGATAAGAAAAAAGGAGGGGGGATTGGTAGAACTGATTGCGGAAAGCTGAGCTCCCATCTGGGTGCCCAAGTATATTGGGGCCCAGTGGCCCAGCCTCAAGAACCAGGAGCTGCACACAGGTGAAGCACAGAGCAGCCCAAAATCTTGGTGTCAACTCTATGAATGACACTATTTGCACAAGAAAACACCTACTCTAGGGAAATCTATGCTAGGGTGGGGATGGGGTGGGCAGGGAGATCCCCAGTCAGCAGTCAGGGCATACAGCTTGTGTGGGTGACTCACAAACACACACCCTCTTGTGGGCTGGTTTGCCATCTGTGTGTGAGTGTGGCACCAGGGTACAGTGTCCCTGTCCACCATCACTGCACACGATGGAGCCTGGCCTTACTGATCCCCACCCTGTACAGGAGGCTATTTCCAGCCTTGCTGGACTAGGGCAGTCTGTGTTCAGGGACAAGGACAGGATCACTGTTGAAACTGACAAACTTCTCATCCCTGGCCATAAGCAGCCCTCCCTGCTTGGCCAGGGAATCCAAACTCCAATCAAGGAAACAAAGAAAAACACTAAGAACTTGGCTGGCCATAATTCGGAGCATGCTAGGGCAGAGAGCAGGGCCACAGTGCCATAGACAATGGCCTTGCTTGTGGGAAGCACTGGAAGAGGAGGAGGTAGCTCAGGCCAGAGGCTTTTGGCAGCTGCCCCAGGGCTGAGGAATCACACCTCTGTTCTTTAGCCCAACCAAAACACATCAGCTTGCCTGGGCCCCTGTGAAGGGGAGGAGCTGGATTGCAGGGGGTGGAGCTCCAGAGAACAATGTGGGGATGGGCATCAGAAAAGGGGCCTGTCTGAGTCTGGACAGCGCCAGCGGGGCTAAGGTCAAGTGGTGAGCATGCTGGCAGGATAGGTGGCACCAGCTTCTGTGAGGCAAGGGAGCTACAGTGTGGAAACCTGAGCTGTCCTGTCAGTGCCCAGCACACCAGCCTAGGAGTGCACCCAGCCTCTGGACAGATCAGCCAGTGATGCATAGCAAGGGAGGCTGGGGCTTCCCTAAGGGCCCCCCAGGTCCCTGTTTCAGACTGCACCTGCAGGCACTGGGGAGCCACAGAAAGCAGGATGCCAACCCACATGCCAGAGGACCTAGTGTGATAGGAGGAGGCACAGAAGAGGGATGAGTGGGGTTGGCCACCTCAGTGGTCAGGTGAGCCGGGTAAGGGGAAAAGGAGCTGAGGGTTGGCGGGAAGGCATAGGACTTGAGGAACACAGCAATGTCACAAGTTGGACTGAGGTGGAGGACTTGGTGACAGATTAGATGTGAAGCATGAAGGAGAAAGGAAAGCCAAGGGAAATGCAAAGGTTTTCAGCCCCAGGCTGGGGAGATGGAGGGAGGGGATGGTGGGTCCCCTGTGAGGAAGGGCAGAAGGAAAGGGCTGGCTTGGAATAAGGAGGCCCGACATGGACACCCATGTTCCCAGGTAGCAGATAAGCCCAGCTTTGGGGTCTTCCCCTAAAGAAGGGGGCCCCCATCTAAGCTTAGGCCTAAGCCTACAAGTTTGGGGCTCAGAGCAGCCCCAGGCAGGAAAAAGGGATGTAAGTCAGGAGGGGCCCCAGCCCCTGAGGAGGCCAAGGCAACTGCTCTTAGGAACCAGGTGTTTGGTGTCCAGATCAACGACAGTCCTGGGCTCCAGAGGGTAGCTGTTCCCAACATGGGCAAAGAGGGAGCAGGCAGCCCAGTCAGGATCCTGGGTGCACCGAGGATTCCAAAGCCCAGCCTAGCCCACGTAAAAGATAAGGTAAGAACAGGGTGTCTCTTAGCCCTGGAAAATTATCACCTACTCCCCAGCCAGCCATGCCAACCTGAGGCTGGGAGTGGACCGAGGGGTCAAGGCAACCCTTGAGGAAGGGGCTGGAGTCAGAGCAAGAGGAACAAGGGCAGATTGTTGGGGTCAGGATGGGCAATGTCATAGCTTGGTGCCTCTCAGCTCCCACCTCCAAGGGAGCCATTCCCAATGTCCCTCCTCCTCAGGAGTGTGGGGGTCTCTGTGACAGGAAGCCCCCTGGGGTAGAGAGGCCGCTGTGCCAGCTGTGTGACTGGCAGGATAAAAAGGGGACAATCTGGTGAGACAGGTGGATGCCTGTGTGTTCAGGCACAGACGGGGCCTGCCCAGGTGCATTTGTGCTGAAGGGACAGGCTTTGTGTGAGGTGGTGACGTGCTGGATTGGGTGACAGAGGATGGGCGCATGACCTGGGGAGGGCAGGCTGCGGAGTTCCATCTCACTGGCCCTCGGAGGCCCCTGCCGCCTGCCCAGCTGGCTGTCCCTCCCTCAGCCACTCACAGATGCATTTTTCACCCGCTGTTGCTGTTGCCGAAGAGCTGATGGGCGGGAGTGGGAGGAGCTGGGGTCAATGCAGGGCCAGCCTGCCTGGGTATCCACATGTAACCAGAGCCTGTGGGGGGCAGCAAGAAGCAGTCCCACATGAGAAGCAGGGCCCTTCCTACCTCTGTCCATCTGGGCAGCTCCTACCACAGTCCTGAGAGTTGATGCCAGAGGCAGGCTCTGCTCCAGGCAGTCCTGCGGCACCCATGCTCACCTGCTAACCCTGAGCAACATTGTGCCAGGCCCCAACAGGTGATGCAGATCTCCTATCCCATGGCCTCCTGCACAATCCAATCCCTCATTCCTGCCTCAGTGCCTGACTTACCAGCACCTGTCAGCCGTATCTATACATGCCCACCTGTGCAGCAGCACACAATTGCCACACACGTGTAGCAGGCCAGCCTTCACACACACACACACACACACACACACACACACACACTGATGCTGCACACACCATGCCAACCCTTCTATCACCCAGGCACACATGTCAATCCACAGCCCTTAGACGTGCTCAGGTGGCTACATGCAGCCATGACCACACGGTCCTCTTATACACATCCAACTCAGTAAACAGTTCCTAGGCACCTACTTGGTGTCTGGCAACACCTCCCCTATGTGTGGAAGGGCAAACACCTCCAGCTCACCACAGTCAGTGGTGCAACCCACAATCCCCTGAGTGTTCATCTGAGGGGCTGCACGCATACCCCTAACATGCACATGCGTGCAGGATGAACACACACTTAGTGGCAGCTCAGCCTTCCAGCTTGGTCAGGATTAGAAGGGAAGGCTGTGGAGAAGACAGGTTTGTTAAAGTGAAGATTTGAGGGTGCTGATGGGGAAGGGAGATCAGTGAGATGGAGCAGAGGGAGGACTGAGGGCAGGATGAGGGCAGTCAGGTAGTGGGTACAGGATGTACTGCGCAGACAGACTCTTCAAGAACCAGCCATCAGCCTCAATCACCAAGCTGGTTGCTGTGCTCTCACTCATCGATCTCCAATCAGTCCGGGTTTGCAGTTCAGGAACCCCAAGCTCCCTCAGAACACCTTTGTGATGAACTGTGTCTGGCCAAGTGAAGGTTTTGGGCAAACCTTCACCACCCCCACCCCCACCCCCCAGTAAGGTTCTGAGGGCATCGATAATTCAAGCCCCATACCCCCTTGGTCAGACAAACGACACCCCCCTCACAGTCAGCTCTGCTGAGAGCATAGGGGCAGAGATCAGGAGGCCCCCACAGTTCTGCCCAGATGGAGGCTCCAGGAGAGCAGACAAAGGATGCAGGGGAACTTCCTCCCCCAAAGCCCCCTCACCCAAGGGAAAGAAGGTGGGCCAAGGACTGACCAGGTTAGGTGGCCAGCAGGGAGAAACAAGGGCTGTGGAGTTTTGGGGAGAAGGGGAAGCCCACTGTGCATGACTCCAGCCCCGGGGTTAGGGAGGCTGGGGAGCCGCAGCTCTGGCCAAAGGGGCTGTGGTGCTTTGACCGTGCAGGCTGCAAGAGCTGGGGGCTGCTGTATGCGCCTCCACGCCTGAGTGTGTGCGTGTGTGAGCGTGTCACAGGGACAGAGGAGGACACTGTGTTCTGGACGTGGGCAGAGGCCAGGTGCCAAGCTGGGAAACTGTGAGTGACTGTTGGGGCAGAAGCTACAGGGAAGAGGTATCTTACACACTTCCCTCCTTCCATTTTCTGGGCAATGGCATGTGGTCAAAACCCTCTAATCTTTGCATCCTCAAAGACAGGCTCCCCAGGGTCGATCCAAACCCTCGATCCTGCTCTGGGGCCGGGCAACCAGCAAACTTCCCCCACCCGGAGGCGTGGGGCGTCTACACTCCCCAGCCCCGTGAGCTGACAGCTGTTCCTGGACTTGGCAGAACCCAGGCTTCCGGGAGAGAGCGCGGGGAAGCTGCGCAGCAGCAAGAGGCTGCCCCCGCGTCCCGCCTCGCAAAGTTTGGCCTCCGGGGGCTCCCAGCCGGTCCGGCAGCACGGGTCACGGGCCCCCCCCACCACCAAGAGGTGCCAGCGTTCGCGCGCACGGTCCCCCGCAAGCCTCCCCAGAGCGCGCGCGGCGTGACTCACCCGAGCCGCGGAGCCAGGCGGCGAGGACTATGCCCAAGAGTGCTGGCCACAGGCCGGGCCAGACGGCCATGGCCGCGGGCGGGCGGGCGGGCGAGCTGGGCGCGGGGCCCCGCGGGCGGGAGGGAGGCTTTCAGCGCCTCAGCCCAGAGCCCCACCTCGGGGCGCCCCCGGGGCCCATGCCAGCGGACTGCACTGCCTCGGGTCGGCCGGCTGTGGGGTGCACGCGGCGCGTGGCTCCCTTGGGCACCGGGAGCGCAGCAATGCAGCCGGGGCGGAGCGCAGCGCCAGCCGCGCCGCGCACCGAGCCAGCCGCCGCGCGGAGCCCGCAGCCGGGGAGCGGGCCGGCGGGCGCCGCAAAACACGGACTGGAATAACGGAACGGGGCTGGGGCGGGGCGGGGGAAGGAAGGAGGGGCCGGGCCGCCCCGCTTGGCGCGCGCGGGCCACCCCCACCAGCGGGGATACCTCCGAGCGAAGTCTGAGGTTCCCTCGGGGAGAGGCTGGGTGGTGGGAGGGGAGGTCTCCCACCGCCCCTCGCGGTCTCCAGGGACCGGGACCGGAGTCTGAAACCCGGAGTGGATTGACTCTCTGGATCTGGGATTTTGGGGGTCCGCCAGTCTGCGCACAGGTGGCTCGGGAGGGGCCCAGGGCTGCGGCGACCCCGGCGCGGCGCCAGCCTGCGGACAGCGGACCAGGGCTGGGGTGCCTCGGACAGGTTCCTCTGCAGTCCTCTCTCCCTACTCCTCGTCTCCGGGCCGCGCTCGGGGGCTGTCAGCGCGCCGCGGTAAGCTGCCAGCCGGCGACTCGGATAGGGGACTGCGGGAGAGCTCCGGGGCCCCAGCCCGCGCGCAGGGCTGCCCAGGGCCACAGACTGGCAGGCCAGACTCGGGGCCACCCATAGCCCCAACACGCAGCCTGGCGGACTTCAAGGACAAGCGTAACAGCTTGACCCAAGGTTTCCCTAACCCACCGCGCAGTTCGCCGAAGGAGACAACCTTAGGGCACAGCTCAGACAAGTCGCGCTGTGTTTGCGCCGGGAGAGCGCAAGGCGCCTGAGACGTGGGCGTGAAGCAAAGAGCTGGGCTTTGGGTGCTAAAAGTCCCGAGGTAGGGTCTAGACGCCTCTGGCTGCTGGCTCTGCGACCTTGGGCAAGTCACGTCGTCTCCCGGAGCTCCAGCAATGACTGCTGCTGGTCTCCTGTTCCCCACCCCCATTCCCTAATCAGGTTAAAATAAACAGAGGGCTCCCTTGAAGGAGAAAGGAAATGACAAACGCGCTCCTTGTGCATTGGGCGAGTGATCAGAAAAAAAGAAGATGCCACCCTGGGTCAGGAGGAGAATGAGAAGGGTAAGGGCAGGGTCGCGAACTCGAACGCCTACGGGGCCGGTCGATAATATAAATTGGTGCTGCAGGCTCGGCGAAATAAGAATGGTCTTGGCTTCCACAAAGACATATGAGCTCTCCTGTATTTCTTGAGACACGAGGCCCTCTCTCGGTCTGTCTTTTGTTTCCACTTTTGATAGAGAGGGATTATAAGAAATATTTTGCTTCTCTCTTAACTCTACTATAAAAAATGTCAGCCAAAGCTCCTCACGTGCACCGGTGCCAGGGAGGGATGGGCAACACTGGGGACAGGGCACCTTTAAAGAGGGCAGCTAGCTCTTCCGCTCCAGGTGCCAGTGCTGGGAGAAAGGATTGGGAGCCGGTATGGCTCTATCTTCCCAATTGTCAATAGAGGCCATTGAATGTGAAATATCTTGATTTTAATGCTTTTACAGCACTGGTTATTGTACCGAGGGCCTTCACACAGAGCTACATTCCCAGCCCTATTTTATTTTTTTTTAATTTTGAGACAGGGTTCGACTAAGTCACTAAACAGTCTATGCTGGGCTGGAAATTTTCAATCCTCCTGCCTCAGCTTTGCAGAGTGCTGGGATTACAGGCATGAGCCACCACATCCAGCTTGATTTTTAAATTTTAACTAATAAAAATATTTTTGGGGGGGCCAGGGATTTAGCTCAATGGTTCCGTCGCTTGCCTTGCAAGCTCAAGGACCCAAGTTCGATCCCCGATACCAAAGAAAACCAAAAATGTTTTTTTGTTACTGCCTGTGAGCCCAGATGAAAATGTCCACCAGCTTCTACTTTTCAAACTCGTTTTGGAGGCTACTTGTATTTCTGCAGTGTCAGGGGGTCCTGATCTGTCCGGTGGTCTGGAGAGATAGGAGAGGGAGAGGGGGAGGGGAAGGGGGAGAGAGAGGAATTGAACACCATGTGTGTCCGTTGACATCATCTCCCACAGGAAAGACGTGAGTTGGAGAGGTGAAACAGTGGCAGGACCTGCATTTGAGGCCCAAGGTATGGAAGAAACAATTAGGACCTGGAGTTTGGACACTAGAAGCAGGTGGTTGAGGATGAAGGAATAGGACTGGGGGCTGGGATATAAGATGACATTATAATGGTGTTTGCGGGATACAGCTATGTTCTTGCCTACATTTATAATTTGACTTGATCCTTCCATACAATTCTGTTAAATCAACACTATTTCCATTGTACAGATAAGGTTGCTGAGGCTGGGGAAGAGAAGTGCTTCATTAGCAATGCCTTATTCTAGGACTGCAGAGCCAGGTGAGATGAGTCTCTGGTTTTAATTCAGTGTCCATGCTCCTTATACTTCCTCTTCCTGTAGTTTCTGCTCTGGGATTAGAATTTGGGAATAAGATTTGGGCTACAGGAAGTCTTCTTTTTTGCTATTCTGTTCAGTTTGGCTGCTTTGTTTAGTTCTCTGCCCATCTCTCTTCAGCCAGAATAGAGGTTTGTGTAGCACCAGGATAAATTAGGTGATGTCACAGTAACAAATAGTCCCCAAATCTCAGTAGTTTAAATCAACAAAGGTTTATTTCTTGTTTGTCCATCATGGATCTACTGCTCCAGGTCATCCTCACTCAAGAACTCTGGATGATAGAACTTTCTGGAACATTGTTGGTCATAGAGGCAGAGGAACAAGGAACTCTAGAGGTATACCTGGCAGCAATCAGTTGCTCAGCCCAGAAAGGACACGTGTCATTTCACAATTCACAATTCACAATTCACTGGCCAGAGTTTGTCCCATGGTCCCAACCAAGACAGCCAGGAAGTACAATCCGACTATGTTACTATGGGCCTGGAAAGCAGAGCAATTGATGACCACAGCCTGTAGGCCCAGTGTTATCTGGCCCCTGCCCACCTCTGTAGCTCTCCCTAGGGCCCAGCCATGGGGGCCTCCCTTTCATTTCTCCAGCATCCAAGCTCTTCCCCCCTTAATTTGCTTTTCTTCCTAGAGCACTCTGCCCTCAGACCTTCATATGGTTATTTTTTTTTTGTCACTCAAGCCTCAGCTCCACTGTCCCCGTTTATGTGGTCCTAAGGGCCATATCAGAAGGCTGGATGACCTTGCAGGGAGGAGGGGTAGACTTCTCACTTGAATTCTGCTTATGAATCCAAGTTGGAGGGCTGCCCAGAAAAGACTTGCCTCAGACCCCCAGGTAGGATGGCCAAATGGGAAGGTCCTGATTAGGTGCTGGCCAGTGACACTGCATTCCTAATACCCACCAGTTGGGGAACTCAGAGCCTGTGGTGAGGCTGTCCTTGACGTGGAGATGCACTGGAATGTTTGTGGTGCTGGGTAAAATGCAAATCTCCACATCCTGCCCTAGCCTCATTCTGACTCAGTATGTCTGGGAGGCATCTAGAATCTGTGCTTTTACCAAGTTCCCTCATTCCTTACCAGCTCTTCTTACTGCTGCTAATAGTCTGAAGACCCACCACACCTAGAGAAACACTACCCTCAGTCTTCACCATTGGTGCTGCCAACAACTGAGTATGTCCTATCTACCATTAGGTCGCTGGTTTTTCCTGAAACTACATGCAGAGACTTAAATTCATCCCAATTATATTCCATCGTATTACATCTAATCCCTCTTTTCCATATGGAGCTGTCTAAAGATGTGGGTGCTGTCAGGCAGGATACTTGCTATTTTTTTCAGTTTCTTGTCATTCTCAGATGAGATTGGGAAGTCATGTAGACTTCAACCAAGTTCTTGCTGAAGAAGTTGCTGAAAGCAGAAGCCAGGTTGGAGTCCAGCAGCCCCACACTCAAGACAACCTTATAGATTACACTTAAAGTGAACATTTAATTTCTCTTTCGTCTACTTCAGAAACCTCTGACTACAGCACCACTCAACGAATATTTCACTGCTGCATCCCCAAAATAAACAGAACTCTACAGAGTTCCAGATTCTTAAGGCTCCAGCTTTGCCCTGATCTACCAGTTCAATTTTTTTTTTTTTTTTGTACCGGGGATTGAACTCAGGACCTTGCACATTCAAGGCAGGCACGGTGACACTGAGCTAAATCCCCAGCCCCTGATCTACCAGTTCAATAACCCAGTGTAACAGGAAATTAGTTCACCAGGCAGAATTTATTCTTGGAAAATCCATGTTGGCCCTTGATAGTCCCTACCCCAATCTAGGCATTCAGATCTGCCTACTGCTCAGTATGCAGTTTCCATCTACTGGACACAGTTTTCTGTTTCTCCTTTGAGGGCCCACTCCTCCCCACATTCGGTACACAAGATCCAGGCGAGGCCACCCCTCTCCAGTTCTGAAAGATGGCACCTGCTTTTATCCACTGTTCCCTGAACCACAGTAATTGGTTTAAAGATGGGTATGTGACCCAAGGCAGCCTGCTGAGGCTCATTTCTGGGACTTTTGTGGGAACTAAGGGAAGAAAATTTTTCTTTTATTGCTGGACTTGAAGCAGTAAAGAGATGATCTTGTCTTGAAACTGCAATCACATGAGGAGCACAGACATGAATCTAAAGCCTGGGTAGAGAAAAACAGAGTCTGGAGAAGAGAGAGGCACAAAATCCTGGTTTATTATTCAAGCCCCTTGGATCTAGGTTGCTTCTGAAACTGCTAGGAATGGCCTTGGATTTTTTAGTTACAACAGAAAGCACATTTTGTTGTTTAAACTCATTTGGGTTTCTATCATTTGCATTAGAAAGAATGATACAGAATTATCCTTTATAAAAATCTGTTCTAGGGCCGGGGATTTAGCTCAGTGGTTCCGCCGCCTGCCTTGCAAGTGAAAGGTCCCGATTTCAATCCCTGGTACCAAAAAACAAAAACAAAAAAATCTGTTCTAGAGCTTTTCCCAGGACAAGGCAAGCATTTACTATTGACTGCTCTTTGCAAGACTTAGTGCTATCCAGTGGGAGATTCTACAGCCAATGGAGACACCGATGGTGCGTTCCATTTTT